CGGAGTGGACGAGGGGCGAGAGGCGCGATGACGTGTGATTCTTGTCGTACAATAACAATATCGTCGTATTGTGTGTACCGTACAGCTGCTGCAGCTATGTAGTAGCGATTATGGCGTCTGGTGTAACGGGTGTGTGGGCTCGTGGCATGGGTGTATATGAAGTTAGTGTTTGTGTGGGTGTGTGAATAGGTCGGGTGTGTGTGTGTGTGTGTGTGTGTCTGGGTATGTGTATGTGTGTGTGTGTGTGTTTGTTTGTTTGTGTGTTTGGCGAGCGATCTTGTGTGTGTATGTGTGTGTCCTCGGGACCGCAGTTCAGTTATCGTCGTCAGCCGCAATCCAAGTGTTCGCGTTTGTGTTTCTTCATAATCGACGCCGGTCGTCAGTGCGGTCGGTGGTGATGGCGTTGGAGGCGGCGACTGCAGCTGCTGCGGTATCGGTGGATCGCACGTACATCGGAAAGCCCTCCACCCCCCCGTCGATTGGTCGACGTGAACTAGGACGGCGACGACTCCYTGTGTTTTTGGACGAGGTGTTTCCCGAGCCGGTCGCGGTCGACGATTGAGCCGGAGACGGCTGTCGATGGCGACGGTGGAGACGACGATTGCAACGGTGCAGATGACGGTTTCATCTGAGCCCGGCTACCAGGTCCGGTCGGATCGTCGTCGGGCGACAGCACTGGCAGGGGGTGGCGGTAGATGAGTGCCCGCGACGGCGTTGACGACGGACAGTGTCGTCTAGTTCCTCGCGAGGTCCACAGTTGTCGTCGACGGTCGCAGCAAAAACTACGGCGGCGATGGCGGACAGCATGGACTCGGGGGGTGGTCAGGAGCCTTATTTGGGCGAGGGTTCTTGACTCAGGAGTTCCTGGAAAAAAAAACAAAAAACCCATCTGATTAGCCTCTGGAGATGAAAAAATAAAAACAACACAGAATAGGTAAACGTACCGATCGATCAATCACGAGAGAATATAAATACCTAGATCAACAATATAATATACCATGTTGCTGGTTTGACATTGATTTTACGAAGGAATAATCAATGCTCTTACACTAGTAATTTTATGTAAAAGTAGTAAGTGAAAAGAAAACTAAACAAAACGCATTTCACGCCCAAAGTAAGTTTTCGTATTTTACTATAGAGTCGTTTCAAATGTGATTGCATACTTCAAGAAGTATAAATAAACATAAGATTTGAATAATACCTTTGATTTACAACTTGATAACGACTTATAATTAAAACACGACAAACGAAACAGTCGTGATAATAATAAATAGTGATACCAAAAAATTGTAAAACGATTGTAGATAGGTACCTACCTAAAGGTATTATGAAAAAAAAATAAACGAAAAAAATATTGACTAAAATATTTAGACAAACTTTTTTGTCACGATATCACACAGATTATTATCTCCAATTTGGACCGTTGAACGATAAATGAAGGATGGTCGTCACCATATCATATACACGCATAATAATAGTATATACGTATGTGGTTTACACGCATAGCCTTTATATGGTTTTCTACACTCAAACAACACCCTTTTAATTTGTTTTTTTTTTTTTTTTAATTTCAGTGCGTAGTTGTACGTGCTTTCTCGTCGATCGTAAAAATTGAAAGGGGGTCACACCCATACCTCTCCCACGTTAAAATAACGATGGACATATGTTACGCTGCGTGAATACAATATACAAACTCCTAAAATATGTACAACACCATGATAATAAAATTATGTGGTAGCAGAGCTAGAAATTTGAAATGGCGAGGTGATAAAACCGTYTGCACTTGGAAAACGATAAATTAATCAATTAAAAATGTAAATTATTAAAATATTCCAAAAAATAAAAATAAATTATAATAATGATACAATATTTGTATTTAAAAA